CAGAACTATTTGGATCAACTTTTCATTTTATAAGAAGTCTGTGGAATTCATACAAGCATGTATCTGCCTAGCATGTCAAACAAAGATGAGAAATGGCATTTTTACTCTGTTCTTGGATGAAACATGAAAATTCAAAAAAGTGGAAATATATATTTTGATAATATTGAAGAAATTGCATTTCTCAAAAAGTTTTGTTTGGTATGATTTGGGGGAAAAAGTTATTTGGTCTGTGTACTAAAATGAACTTAGAGTTTTCCCTTTAACCACTTTAATTCTTATTGAAAATAATTTAAATTTTGCATTGAAATTTAGATGACAAATTATTATTCATATTCTCTATAAGTCCATATTAAAGTATTGTATATAATTACTTTTCTCAATAAAGAAAAAAATTTATTCAAATTCATTCTTAAGTTGTATATATAAATAATTTCAGATTTGAAAAAATAAAATTTTATATTCAACATTTGACTAATAATAAAATGTGGATATGCATATGTATGTATATATATATATATATATATATATATATATATATATATAAAATTAAACATATATTTATATATTTCATTAATTCTGAATTTAAATTTAATTTAGATATTTTTTTCAGTATGCAGATATTTCTTTACAGAGAAATTATATATAGGCAAACCTGAATTCAAATGGTTGTTTTCCAATGATCATTTCAAAATCAATTAGATTCAACAACAATATATTTTTCCATAGATACAATGTATTGTTAATGTGCTTATGTCTCTAAGCTACAATATACATAACTTACTGTGTAAGTAAATGCTTTAAATTTGCTGTGAAAAGCAATTGAAAGTACCATTACTAAAATCAAGCTAGTTAACACAGTCTCTTGTAATATATAGAGCACAGAGTCAAGATGGTGTCAACTCTCTTGACAGACAACTGCTTTCCTGAAACGTCTTCCACTCCTTCTTAACAGAGGAATGGTTGCCAGTCCCATGCCACTACTACATGGGGTTAGAAGGTTTGCCAAATCTTTTCCAAAAGTATAGTCATAGCGTGCCCTGTTTTCATTGTGCTCTTTACCCCCCCTGTTCTTGTCAGGTAAGGCTCAGAGGGCCCAAGTCCCTTCTCATCTTCCTGTCTACAGTTGATATAAGTCCTGCATGTTCTCTATTTCAATCTGACTTGTATGCATCCCAAATTGTGTAACCCTCCTATGGTGCCTGTTATGTTTCATCACAAAATCCTTTATTCTTTCCTTCTTTTCTTAACATAATAGAGCCCAATACTTAACAAGGGGACCCTGCTTCTTCTGTAGCTGTCTCAGTGATGGTGGTGTTATTTTTTTCCCATAGACCCTAGACATATAGGCAAGGAATTCAGCTGTTTCTTTACATTGCTACTCATTGTTACTTTCAGAACTTTATTTTTTCATTTTTCCTGAACTGTCAGCTTGGTGTCTCATGACATTAGCTTATGTATCCACAACCCTCATTGCTGATGTCCTCTGACCATGGGTCAGTGCACTTCATTTCAGCTTAAGCTCTAAATTTGCATATATTCTCTTCAAAAATGTCAGAAGCCACTCCTGAGCTATTTAGCATCTTCACTTGGCCTTGAGCCTAGGGGATTTTGGTCTGGCATTACATGCTACTTTGTGGCCCCTCCCTCTTAATGGACTAGCAATGCTTGTGACTTCAGTCTTCCCTCTGCTAGGAAGGCAGCTCTCATAGCTCCAGAACTGGGCATGACCCACTGGGCCTGGACAGCCCACCTCCTGCCTTATTTGGTGAAGAACATTCTGTAGAAAACCTTTGAAGTTCCCTTGTATAAATAAAGCAAATGCGGGATCGCTCTTTCTCTCTTCCCAGTGTGGAAGCTGAAATCTAAGGTCACGGAGCGCCTCGACCCTCGCTTTTCAAAATTACATTATGTGTAGTGTTGTTCTTCCCCACATCTTTTTCTTAGCTTAATTTTTCAGCCAGTCTACATCATGCAGAGATGATGGCCTCCCATGTGGGATGTGGACCAGACAATACCATACCTATTTTATTCTTGAGGACTTAAATCTAGAGTGAGATGATATTTTTGAATCTCAAGCAGCTTAGAATCTTGAATTCTTTTAAAATTCTTCTTATAACCTACCGCTGCTATTCCCTACCTTGGTCATCTTTTAGATGCCATTATTACCATTGTAGCCTCTTGGAAATTTAAATTTCATGGGTTCATCCTTCTAATGGCACCCTCTTTCATTTCAGTTCATTTTAGTTCACAGTCTTCAGCATGACATGTCCATTTATTCTTTATTTTTACATGTTCCTCAAGTCCACATCCTACTAGATTTTTGTCAACCTTTATTCCACTGCTTCCTTTACTAGCTTAAATTTCATTGTAAGTTGCTGTACTTACTTTGTTGCATATATCATCAATTTTCCCATCCATTTTATATCTTTAGGAAGTCCAAATATTTGCCTGTTTTATGCTTCCATCCACACAGTTCAATGTATCTAGGCAACAAACTCGAAAATACTGGATATATTCTTTCAAATTTAAACTAGCCTCAATCAAGTCATGAAAGTTTTGCTAAAATTACTCTGTACTCCTTTTCCACATCTTCTAAGTGATTATTTCATATATTTCTCAGTTTCTCCTAATCACATCTTCAATCTTACTTCTAGTTGGTGATCTTTTTCTTGCTTAGCTGAAAATTAAAAAATCAACATTTTTTCCCCACAGACTCTTATTGTCACAGCACCTAATTGTTAGTATTGCTTTACAAACAACCACCCCACAGGCCAAAATGCACTTTGTGTTTCCTATGAATGGCAGGCAGTAGTCAGGAGCTCCACTGATCACAGAGTTAAGGGTACACCGGGAGTTGCCCAGTTGCACATCCTTGCATTTTAGTTTCCGTGTCCATGTACTGTGATCCTCATTTGAGATGGACTGGTCTTTTCTAAAATCCACCCTGTTATTTCTTACATACTCAAACATGAGTGAATCTATTCTTTTCTTTCTTATATTACTAAGATTTTACTCTCTGTAGGATTCGTCAGCATACAAACATGCTGTTTATTTCTTTTATTTGAGAAAGAACAAAAGAAACCACCTTCTCATGATTATCCCTTCTCTCTATACCTACTGCTCAACCCGATCCCCTTTATAGAAAAGTCCTTAGGGGAAAAAAAAATCTTCTCTACAAATCCCTTCTAACACACAAACCTTTTTTTTTCTGCATGTTTTTGATCTCATTGAACAACTGAAAATCACTCTTTTTAACCTACATGTTGCTGCATCAAATGTCAACTTCTCTATATTTGCCTTATCTATGATTAGAATTTGACAAAGATAATTTATACACATTTTGAAATATATTATTCACTTGGATTCCAAGTTATTATACCCTATCAGTTTTTCTCCCCCCCCCCCACCATTTTTTTGGTGCATTGTAGTTGTACATGATGATGGGATTTTTTTTCACATATTAATACATACACACAATGTAACAATGTAATTTGGCCAATATCACTTCCCAGCACATCCCCCTTCCTTCCCATTTCCCACCCTTGGTCCCTTTTCTCTGCAATCTCCTTTTAGTTTTCATAAAATCCCCACCAAACTGCTGTTCTTTTTCCTCATTAGCTTCCATGTGGGAGAGAAAACATATGACCCTTAACTATCTATGTTTGCCTTATTTCATTTAACATAGTGTTCTCTAATTGCATCCATTTTTCCTGAAAATGACATAATTTCATTATTTATAGCTGAATAAAACTCCATTGTGTATATATATATACCACCTTTTCCTTATTCCTTCACCCATGATGGACACCTAGTTTGGTTCCAAAGTTAGGCTATTGTGAATTGTTCAGCTGTAACATGGGTCTGCATGTGTCACTGTAGTATGATGACTTTAATTCTTCAGGATAAATACCAAGGATTGACATAGCTGGGTCACATACTGTTTTCATGGCTAGTCTTTTAAGGAATCTCCATACTGATTTCCATAGTGGTTGTACTAATTTACAATTCTATCAAAAATGTAAAAGTGTTCCTTTTTCTCCAAATCCTCTCCGGCATCAATGTTTGTATTCTTTTTTTAATTGGTCTTTTTAGTGTATATGACAGTAAAATCCACTTTGATGTAGTTATACAAGCATGGAATATAGTTTAATCTTGTTAGGGTTATTTTAATTCCTGATGACTTGTCATTATGTATGAGATGAAATCTCAATGAAAATTTGATTTGGATTTCCCTAATTGATAATGATGTTGAATGAACATTTTTTCCATGTATTTGTTTGCCATTTGTATTTATTCTTTTGAGAAGTGTCTGATTCACTTGTCCCTCGATTAAGTGGGTTCTTTGATTTGGGGTGTAATGTTTTTTGATTTCTTAATATATTCTAGATATTATCCTCTATTAGTTTTTCTCCAAATGACTGAATAATCCTTCTTATTCTCCTTTACTGGTTTTTCTTTTTCTCTCTCATTTTTCAGTGATGAGTGGCCTTTGCTATCGGTTTTCTATCCACTCCTTATTTCTGTCCATAATTGGCTGATTTGATTATAACTTTCAGAATCTTGCTTTTAAATACTATCTGTATGTCTATGTAAGTGACTGTATTTGTTCTTATGACTAAGAGTCCTGTATTTCAAAATTTATATACAACTCTAAATTTAATTTTCACTTTCTAAATATAATTAAAATTGTATCTGGACAAAAAAGAAAGTCATATTTCCTATCTTAATACTCATAAAAATATAAATCACCATTCTTTTTTAAAGAAACTTAAAAAAATACAAATCTCACTTCTCAACATGCAAAGTTTGGTATTGGATATAACAGCATCACTAAGACAAGCTCTTAGAAGGTTTACCACTCAATGAATTGAGTACACATAAAAACAAGCCTACCCTAACTAGGAAAATATATTGTTGACTTATGCCAGTACTACATTTGTGCAACAAAAATTGAAAACTAAAGTTAGTAAAAATGGCCCTTTACGGCTTGGCCTACGTGGCAGCCGCTGGAGCCGCGCCGCGCAGCGAGGCCGGCCGCCGGGCACTTCCTGTGGAGGCCGCAGCGGGCCGAGCGCGAGCGCCGAGCAGCAGCCAGCCGAGCCTGCCGCCGCCATGGGCCAGAACGACCTGATGGGCACGGCCGAGGACTTCGCCGACCAGTTCCTGCGAGTCACCAAGCAGTACCTCCCTCACGTGGCCCGCCTCTGCCTGATCAGCACCTTCCTGGAGGATGGCATCCGCATGTGGTTCCAGTGGAGCGAGCAGCGTGACTACATCGACACTACCTGGGGCTGTGGCTACCTGCTGGCCTCATCCTTCGTGTTCCTCAACTTGCTGGGACAGTTGACTGGCTGTGTCTTGGTGTTGAGCAGGAACTTCGTGCAGTATGCCTGCTTTGGGCTCTTCGGAATCATAGCACTGCAGACGATCGCCTACAGCATTCTGTGGGACTTGAAGTTTTTGATGAGGAACCTGGCCCTGGGAGGAGGTTTGTTGCTGCTCTTAGCAGAGTCCCGTTCGGAAGGGAAGAGCATGTTTGCAGGTGTCCCCACCATGTGTGAGAGCTCTCCCAAGCAGTACATGCAGCTCGGAGGCAGGGTCTTGCTGGTCCTGATGTTCATGACCCTCCTTCACTTTGATGCCAGCTTCTTTTCTATCATCCAGAACATCGTGGGCACAGCTCTGATGATCTTGGTGGCTGTTGGCTTTAAAACCAAGCTGGCGGCTTTGACTCTTGTTGTTTTGCTGTTTGCTATCAATGTGTATTTCAACGCCTTCTGGACCATTCCAGTCTATAAGCCCATGCATGACTTCCTGAAGTACGACTTCTTCCAGACCATGTCGGTGATTGGAGGCTTGCTCCTGGTGGTGGCTCTGGGCCCTGGGGGTGTTTCCATGGATGAAAAGAAGAAAGAGTGGTAACAGGCAGATCCCTACCCTACCTGGCCAAGACCTGTGCCCTTGTGGACTGGTTCAGGGTGGAGTCAACAAACTGCCAGCAGTTCCGTGTCCTCTTCCCTCCCCCCGCCTTGGTAAAGGCACCGATGTTTGAGAACTTTACTTGCAGACACCTGAAAATTGGGGGCAAAATCTGCTCTGGAACCACAGGCTGGTATCTGACCGCTGAGTGCTGCCCAGCTGCATGGCCAGTCACCTGGCCAGCCCCTGACATGAGCAGCTCAGTGGGTTGTGGCCTCAGTCCTGTTTTCGAGTCTTTTTTGGGGTGAGGGACTTCAAGCTGTACTGTGAGCAGACATCTGTATCATTCATAGCAGCCTCCCTCTTGTTTTTTAAGTTTATATTCTTAGCTTAAACTACTAAATGGTTTTGGATGCTGCAGCCAGACTTCACACCCCGAAGCTCCCTGGTTGAAACGCGAATCAGTGGCTTCAACATTGTTTCTGCCCCTGCATTGTAATACCTTATAATCAGTGAGGCTATTCAGAAGAGCCCCAGCCCCACAGTGCTGCAGTACTGGAGGGTGACCAGGGCTGCGGCTGGAGGGAGAATTCACCAACACCACCAGCTCGGATCAGTCACTGGGAGACAGAGACCCTCTCAGAGCTTTAGTGGCTCAAGGCAGGGACCCAGGGGAAGCTGCACACAGGATGGCCACCCCCTCCTCCTTGAATGGCTTGGGGAGGAGCAGCAGCAAGGGGCCCAGCAATGTCAGGAGCTCCCAGTATCAGAGACCCACAGGCTCAACCCAGTTACCTCAACTCGACCTTCACAGAGCAAGGCCTGGATACCCTAGGCTGTGCTCCATCCCAGCGTGGCAGCACCTGTTCCAGACTGCACCTGCCCTGTGGGTGGCCCCAAGGTTATCGCTTGCTCAGATTTTGTCCATTTGCTATGCCAATGCAGCCAAGATTACTTTCTACAATTTGTGATGCCTTACCAATTTGATCTTGATCCTGTATTTAAAGTTTTCTAACATTGCCTTAAAAAAAAAAAAAGTTAGTAAAAATGTTAATGTTATGTCAGTATGAATGATGAATGTTTGGAATCAAATATACAGAGCAACATAACAATATTGACCCTTTTACATGAATTTAAACTGCTACGGAATTGAAATCACTAGGCTATTTTAATAACCTCCACAAATTCTCATTATCAGAAGCACAGACTGATATTGGTGGGGATCAACGAATTACAATATATGGAATATATGGTTTCGTGTTTGGCACCTAGTAGAGACTATACACAATTAACATTTTAAAGGACCATAACTGCATATCAAATAGGATTGGGGATTATTTCCCCCCACAAAAAAAATTTTCACTCAATTGTGGTTTGGTTTCCAGGAAGGCATGCCTTAATTCATAATTAAGACAATATAGACAATCTATAATAGCATGTCTAGGCAAAATCACAAAGGGTCATCCTCATTCCCTTTAATAGAAATATCATCTAAATATGGATCAAATTCTATTTTTTCCAAGTGATTCTTCTATATTTCCATTATCATTATATAAAAAGGGGGGGACTCTTACTTAAATTTTATGACTATTATAAAATAGTGCCAATGAAATTTGGGAAATGGAATAGTTGAGGAAAAAAAGCAGCTTAAGGTTTAAAGAAAACAAACATTGGCTTAATTTTATCCAAAATTAATGTGTTTGCTATATATTTCTTTAACTCTACAATCTAAATCTTATATAAAATGTCATTGAAAACCTAGGAGGAGCAAGGTGGGAGAAAGATTCATATTAACAAAGTTTTTACTCAACATAAACTATATTGGTAGTGACATTCTGTTGGAAATAAAAAAATACATTCTTACATTCAAATTCTTTTGGCACAAAAAGACTCACTACCTGCACTTGAATAAGAAGGATTCTTAGGCTTATGAATGACAGTGAAGGTCTCTGAAACAATGTTGTTTAGATTTGTTACAGCAGAACAGCTCTTTCTTCTTGGGGTTCCAAGTAGTTTTTGACTTGTACACCCCTGCGGAGATTCAAGCATAGATAGCCCACTACTTTTTGTTCTGAGAACTGCAAGCAATCCTCCTCAAGAAAGACTTCCCTTGTTTCCCCAAACTATCAAAAATGCTACATTGGAGTTTTAGCCACTCATCCCCCAGAATGTGATATCTGCAGTAGAGTCCTTGTAGCAGATTTAATTGGTTAAGTGGAGCTCATATTGGATTAGGGTGTGACTCTGATCCAATGTGATTAGTGTGAAGAGACAGAGACACACAGGGACAGTGCCCTGTGACAAAGATGATGGAATCATGGAGCTTGCAGGCAAAGAATGCTGAAGGTTGTGGCAACCTCCAGATGGCAGAGGAGGCACAGAAGGAGTGAGACCTTTCAGAGGGAGAGTGGCCCTCCTGACATTTTGATTCCAGTCCTCTGGTCTCCAGAAGTATAAATTTAAAAATTTGATTTTTAAAGTCACCCAGCTTGTGCATTCTTTGTTATAGCAGTACTTAGACAATAATGACTTTAAGATTCTTTAGAAGTCACTGAGCTAAAGACACACATGTGAGAGGGATGGTATTTGGGGAGGGAGAGGGGAAGTGCTGGGGAGTGATCTTTGCTAAATTTTAGTGTTACATTGTGCACATGTATGAATATGTTTTTAAAAATCCCATGATGATGTACAACTCTAATGCATCAACAAAAATCTGCTGGGGGTGGTGGTGGTGGGGGATACACACCTGCATCTCTGCCTGAAACGTAACATTTCTTTCTGTCTGTGTAGTAGCAGCTATTCGTTCTGTATTCTTCTTTGTAATATTAATTGGTTCTTTAGGGAACCATCTCAAAGTTCTGATATGTTCTTTCCATTTGATTTTAGATTCTATTCCACCCCATTATAAATAGGACCTTAATTAACCTTCTCAAAATGGATTCTCTTCCAAGGATAGCTTCCCTGAAAACAATGTTACAGTGCTAGTCAACTGCAGAAGCCTCATCACTTGGAAAATCTATTTACAGAAATGGCCTTTGAATATTAAAAGCTTCCTTCACTTGGAACTTATGTAAACATTGTAATATAAATGTAACTTCTCTTGTCCTGCAAAAAAAGACATTCTGAAAGGTAGAAAAACAAGCTGCCTTTGATACTACTCCTAGATAACATTGTGATAAAACTATAATATAAAAGGAGTGCAATTCAAAAACTTCAAAGATGTTTAACTTTTAGCAAATCGTAAATGTATTCAGTTGAAATAGGTAAATTAACACTACTATAACTCTTGCTGATTCTACTTCATATTTAGAATATACGTAAAGATGTCCTTATTTTAAAGTTTTCAATGCATATATTTAAGTGTTGAAAATTTAACACACCTTAAGGGAAAGTCCTAATTTCTAAAAAATGAAATAAAATAAAATAGTATGAGAAAGAGTCACTTAAAGCATTACTTAGAAGAATTGAAAGTGTTTGAGATTAAATAGTTTCATTTTCCCACAGTCTATAAAGGTACTGTTTTCAGAGCTGATAATGGGCTTTGATCAAATAAATGTATGTCAACTTTCTATAAACCATCACCCTATGAAGCTATAATTACTGCTCATATTTTTTAAGTAGCACAAAAGTCATGGAATAGTTGAAAGAAATGAATAAACCAAGCAAAAGTCTAACTTGAATCTTACTTGAAATTAGATTATTTAATACTAAAAAAGATTCCCAGAGTCCTTTTTCTTTTATTTTTTGGTACCAGGGATTGAATTCAGGGGCACTCAACCACCGAGTCACATCCCCAGCCTTATTTTACATTTTTTATTTAGAGACAAGTTCTCACTGAGTTGCTTTGTGCCTGGCCATTGATGAGGCTGGTTTTGATCCTCCTGCCTCAGACTCTGGAACCCTCAGGATTAGAGGCATGCACCAATTGGCCAACATCCCCAGGGTAACTCCTGAGACACAAATATATGGATTTGCTTCTTAGACTATGCAGAGGAATACTGTGTATGTTGCTGACTGAAACATTGATACCGAGAGAAAAATCTATAAAAGTTCATGTATAATTTCCAAACACAGGAATGAATATTATAAAGTAAAGAGCAATACTTTTTGATAGCTCTATTTTATTAAACATTTTCCTGTTATATATATATATATATATATATATATATATATATATATATATACACACACACACACACATGGCTGGTTGTTTTTATTATATGGATGGCCCAGGATATGCACCTACTGTGGGAGTTTAGTTTGGTGCCAATATGTTAACGCAAGAGAGAGTTCTGTTATGGCATGTCTGTAAGACTTTTGGTATCCTGGGAATAATTTTCAGCAGTAGAATTGAAAGTTAAAGAAGAGAAAAATGCTGCATTTTATCTTTCAGAAAAAGATTCACAGTATATACTTAATGTTAAGATTAAAATTACATGTTAGTAAAATAACCTTATTGATGTCCACATTATCTTAACACACCTGTGGTTTCATTTGTATTTCTGAATGCATTTTTCAATATTACCATTTTTATACATAGTTAAAATATATTTTACAAACAATTTTGAATCCTACCTTTTTACTGAATGTTAGTTTGTAAGCCATTTGGTTTGTGGTCAAAACATAGACCCCCCCATTTGTCATGAGTGCATAGTAATCCAAAATTAGGTATGCCATTTCCATGAAAGAGCAACTGTCAATTATTTCTAATTTTGAATTACTATGAATGCTTGTTATTGTATCTGTAAAAATTGAAAAAAAAACTGCTATCAATAGATGCACTGAATGAGATACTGCTGTATATGAATAAATTAAATGAATTTTTATTCAGTTTATAGTTGTGAGTATTACAAAGTCATATAAATTCCAGGACCAGTTCAAACAAATCAATGTACCAGTTTTCAATTTATCTCACATCACCTTTGGATTGTATATAATATACCAGTCCATGTTGCAGACCCTGGGCCACACAACACATCCATGCTGGCTAACACTGGAAAAGTTTCTGCAACATTTTTTTTTTTTCAGGCGCATGGGATATCAAGGAGATCAGGGGCCCGCCACTAATGAGCCACATCTCTAGCTTTGTTTTGTATTTTATTTAGAGGCAAGGTCTCACTGAGTTGCTTACTGCCTTGCTTTTACTGAGGCTGGCTTTAAACTCATGATCTTATCTATTTCACTCTGCTGTTCTGTATATTGAGCATGTTAGTTTATCCAACTGTTTAGAACAGAACTTTGTACATAGTGATAAAAATCCACTGTATCAATGAGGGATAATATTATTATCCTTTACTAAATTTTATAAATTGATACTACTGATATTTTAAAAATATATATTCAAACTTTGAAATTATATCACAGAAAATCCAAACATTAGTTGTAAAAAGAAAAAAAAAATGGACATTTGCAATTTTGTTATACCTCTAATAGGTTCCTTCTCATCAAACTTGCTGCATATTTTCATAGCTGTGCTCATGAACATTTATGGTCAGGATGTGAAACAATAACATTGACTGTATGACACTGAAAATATTTTATTTTTATCATGAAAAAATTAAAGTGTTAAGAAACTACTTTGAACAATACAAATATGTCTAACACTATAGGGAAATATATGCATGTGTGATATTTTAATAAGATGGAGAAGGGTTCAAGATGGCAGAGGAGAGAAGTTTACTTTCCAAATAGTTTTATGGTGTGGGACCAGGAAAGTGAAAAAAACAGTTTCTCTTTAAGGTCAGTTAAAAAAGAAATCATACTAAGATTTAGTACTGGACTCTCAGAATGGCCTAGGGACTCACAAGTTTGGGCAGAATAACATAAGTGAAGCAGGAGGAATAATAATACCAGAACTTAAATTATACAACAGAGCTACAGTTACCAAAAAACATGATAGACCAAAACAGACATGAAGACCAAGGGAACAGAACAGAAGACACAGAGATAAACCCACATAAATACAGTTATCACATACTGGTTAAGGTTTCCATAAATACATTGGAGAAAAGATAGCCTAT